AAGAACTTACATGACTTTGTGACAGTTATTGAATGGATTGTACAGAATTTCTTTGCAATTAAAGCAGTAGATAAACAATTGATGATAATGGAAGTCACTGTGAGTATGAGGTATTTCTGCTCTGTGCCAGGATGGCGAACTTTAACTGGGTATAGTAAACATTAGAGCCTAATACATGAAATCAGGAAGTATTTTCTAGTGGAAGCTGTAGTAATTAGAAACTTTTTAGTTGTCGTCTTGTACCTGACTAATCTGGGACGCATACCTAAGAGTGCTTCACTTTACCATCAGCAGTTTTATGTTAATCCCTCTATGCATTATTTTTAATTAGTGGGGCAAAGACTACTTGAGGCATCTTGTCTCTATCTGTATCTGAGGTACATGTGGATCCAAGACCTGAAAAGGGGCACTGTAGTAATCTGGGAAAGATTTTCTTCCCTTTCAGATCTCACCTGTAAGGGGAAGCAAGAAATTTTAGAATTGATCCACAAGGGTCAGAGCTTTGATACCAAATCTAGCGGCTCTACTCCTAACTTGGATCCTCCAAGCAAAATCTATTGTAGTTCCTATAGGGAGACTTGCAGAAATCACAAATACCCTTTTCTGTTTCAGCAAATCATGCGTACTGCCATGAAGTACAACCTGGGTCTGGACCTGAGAACAGCTGCCTATGTCAATGCAATTGAGAAAGTCTTCAAAGTGTACAATGAGGCTGGTCTGACCTTTACATAAACAGGCCATTACCGCTCCTTACTGTATCCCATCCCTCTTGCCGTTAACATACCCTCTTCTTGAGAAAGCTTATCACAGTTTACATGTAACCACAAAATTTTCTTTTCTTCTGACGTTATAGTGGATTCTATTCTCAATTAGTTTCAGTCCAAACTAGTTTTTTTACAATAAAAATCCATGGACTAGGAAATTGTACACAAGTATGTATCTGAAGATAACAGTTCATCTGCACTTGTGGGGGCCATTCTGGGTATTTTGCCTACAAAACAAAATGGTACATTTTATGTATGAAAGAGTGGTCTTGCCACCTGAGCCACTTCTCAGACTTCAGATCAGATACTGTACTAGGTGAGCACTTAGCTCATTATTACTTCATGCACTTTTGTTAAATGATGTAATTTTGGCTTTGGCACTTTCAGTAAGGCCTTGTATGATCAATGCTGTGGCATTGTCAAAGGAAGAATGGGCCTCCAGCAGGGATTAACTTTGATAGGAGTCTAATTTTCATTTGTAGTAAAGCTTCAGGCCTGATTCTCTTTAGGCAGTGTTTTTTCTTTAACTGTGCTGCTGTTATAGGACTGCCTTTTATTGCTTGTTCAAGCTAGCTTGACTATCACCGTGATGTAGAGGTGACAGACTAATATTTTTATAAGCTGAAACTATCGAGCAACTCAAGTTATGTTTTTAACCAAGTATCTACATAACTATTCTGACTATAGGTTGTTTCCTTTTTTTAAAAAAGGGGTAGTCTGAATTTGGTAAGCAATCATACTTAGGTTTTTTAGAATTCTTTTTCAGTCTTTTCCTTTCAGAGGCTTTCTGAAAACTAGATACTGCCTCAGTGAACAACTAAAGTGAAACTGAACCCAGAAATCATTGGCTAAACTACGGAGGAGCTACAGTGCTGCTATAGACTTCATCCACTGTTTTAACACACACAGCCCCCCCCGCTCCATCGGGAGGTCTTGAAAGTTTTGAACATATTAGAGTACAATGAAATGGACCTCAACACAATATTGGATCAAGCACAGTTTCTCAAGTGTAAGGCTTTTGTCCAGTGGAGTCCCCTTGAAGTGCCAGATGTTATTTATGTAATGAATATGAATGTTTTTTTTAAAAGACAACTAGTCCCTCCCAGAAACTCATGCTTTTTTTCTAACTACTTTGTAACTGCATGACATAACCTGGAGAGAAGAGCAGTTATTAAAAAAAGTTGACCTTTCCAAACCTACTATGCTGGTGTATTACTGTTTTCTATTTCATTCAATAGCTTTCTGTAATTACAATCAGTCTGTGAATCTTCACAGCACACTTGTTTATTAATTACATGCCTTCTGATAAGATACTGTCTCTGAGTTGTCCTACGGGGCTCACTAATACAGATCTCGGTCTCTTGAACTTGCCTGTCAACAAGACTTTTGAAGTTGGATGTATTAGGTAAGTCATTTCAGGTCTTTACTGCATCCTCTCAAATTTGTGTGAAGAACTATTCTAGTAGTTAGCATTGAGCGATAAACCTGTGTGATGCATTTAACTAGTGGCTTACTCCATCATGTATGATGATACCCAGGGTTATAAAAGTACTTCCACTCACTTAACTACATTGTATATCTATAATGGCATTTATTTTTTAAAAATGAGAATCCTTTGAGCATGAAAGAATTACTGTGGATTAAGGTGTGGATCTTTAAACACCAGATCTGTATCTTGGATCATACTTTTCAGTGCAGTTTTTCTGTAAACATTTTGGATAGTAAGATGAAACTAAGACTGTAACAATTTAACTGACAAATTGTAACCTACTTGCACCAAAACTCAGATGCTAAAAACTCACAAATAAATATAGTTGTATTATTGAAAAGAGATAGTATCTTAAAAGCTGAGTTGTATTATCTAGCAGAGTTGAAAGCAAAGCACAGTAGCAGTGAAGAGACTTGGCTAATTTACTGCTGTTCTCCCTCCCTTCCCCCATCATTTGCTCTCCAGCAAGTAAAGCACCTCTAATTTGGCTGCACAAACCTGAAAAATGGGACCCTTTCAGTGTTGGAGCATATAGAAAGCTGGCACAGACAGGTAACTGGGCTGTCTTCTGCCTTCTACTCAGTTTGAAGGAAAAAAAGCCAGAAGCTGCGCAATACCTGAATTCCCCAATTCATTAACATCTTATATTCTTCTACATGCACACATTAGCACTTTTGCCCAAATATCTTGAAAGAAAGTAGATCTACCACCAGGTATGACTTCACCAATCCCAGAGATGAGGCCTTCAGGTTGATGGGATTTCTCCTCAGCCAACTTGATTGCAATGGTCACCAACCTCTTGTTAACAGAGTCGGTGCCGGACGCCTGCGAGACATGAATCTGAGCATATCCAAAGGCTGGTGTAAGGAGAACTTAGGATACTTTCTATCAAAGAGCTGAGATTCCTAAGGAGATGGATGCTTGGAGTCTGACTTAAAATTACAGCACATCAGCCAATTTGCCCTTTGCTTGTAGCTAAAAGCAGGAACCAAACTATCAGTGAACCCAGACTTCTTCTGGTAGCCTGTTTGGAAGTGGTCTTGTACATTAAGGCTACACTGGTGCCGAGCCTTACCGGGCTCAGTCCCAAGGGGATCAGACAGTTAAGAAAAAAATAAAAACGCATGTTCCGTATTACATTTTGTAGCACATACCTCTCAAGACCTGGCAACAGCAAACAGAGAGAAAAAAGTGGTAAAATTTACACATTTACTGTGAGTTAATGTGGTTTGAGAGGCGTGGGTGCAAAACAGCTCTAGCCTTTTCTTAGCCCCAGTTGAAGAAAGCAGTCACGTTCTGGGATGTAGGTTATAAGTGTAACTGTACTGGCTTTTTTTTTTACTGTCCAATTAGGTGTTAGGCCAAACGTCTCAGGGAATGCTCCTCTCCCTACATGTACATACCCATACACACAAGTTTTATCTTCCAGCTAACAATGTTGTCACTGCTTGTGCTCACATGCCACTAGACCTTCACCACGAAACGTGGTAGGGAGACAGTCAGTACCTGAAGTTAGATTTAAGCACAGATTTCAACCTGCTCTGAACCACGCTACCTAGAGCAAACCACATCCTTACCACAGCAGGTATTTGTAATATCTTATGCAGTATTAAGTCCTGATTTACGTAGCTGGTTTGTGTTGAGTAGTGGCTCAGTAAGTACTCTGAAGCTGCAAGTGAATTTCATAAGGATCACAACTACAATGTTTGGGGTTCCCTGCTGCCTGCAGAGTACTAAACACAAAAATATCTCTATATACAGAAGAGCAAGTAGAACAATCATTTTTCATCCCAGTAAAGAACTCAGACCTGCATCTGTTTTCATTGATTGCAACTGTCACCATCAGGAGGAAGTGTTGAAGCAATTGTAATTCTTGCTGGGATTTCAAGATGCCAAGTAAGTGACTTCTAAATTACTCTGTTAGTACCTGCTGAGTCTTGTAATATCAGATCCCCTACTCATTGCAGTAGCAAGACATTTCTTCCCTTCTCACTGTATGTTCATGTGCATACAGGGTTTTGTGGTTTGGTTTTGTCTTTTTACAGCCCAGACTTGGTCAGTTCTTATTCTTCCAGCTCCTGCTTGATTACTGTCCATCTGTGTGTTTGACCAGAGCCCTGAAGTGTGGCAAACAATTCCGTTGCCATACTGCGTGCCGCATTACACATCAAGTGACGTGAAGTCGAACCAGTGATCCAGCTCAGGCAGTGTCAAGCAGTTCGGTGGTGAGGTAATGCTCTGCGATGCCTTGTTCTGCTGTTAGCATTAGTTTGAGTACCACAGTGCTCTTTTACAGTGGCTATGTATACCTTAAACACACTTGAGTCTTCATCAGCACAGTAGCTAATTGCAGTTTTATAGATAAGACCAGAAGTACAAGTACAGTCACAGATTACATTACCTTGTAATGGCTGTTAGGGGCTCAGCTTTGTGCTACTTGCACACATGATCACAACTTGCACTTGGTGACAAAATGGGAGAGACCAAATCTCAAGTCCCTGGCTTTACATTGCACCCACTCCGAGCTGTCCCTTAGCTAATAAAAAAAGACAGTGTTTGTCTGCATTAATAGCATAGCACAGCTTTAGCTGTCTGCCCTGTGAAGTAATCCAGTCTTTCAGAGATTGTAAATGTTTTTTTAAGTATGTGTAACCGAAGGATTCCTAAGGAGTACACACAAGCCAGGTAGAGTACAAGTATTTTCTTTATTTAAAAGTACATGTCATAGAAACTTGTTTACAAAAACCTCAGTGGTGGTGCATTTTTATCTTCATTGTCCAAAGCTTTTGCCCCACGAAGTTGCTTGATTTGCTACGTTTTTTACAGCTTTTTCACCAGTTTCAGCAACTTTGTAGACTTCGTCAAGAGCTTTTAAAACAGAAAAACAAAGGTAACTGTAGCATCACTGCAATACCCTTCCCGTTCCCACCCAGTGTGGGCCAAGGCAGGGCTGGGGGACCCGTCTGGGATTTCACTGACATGCCATTACTGAGGTAAACAGTCACAACCTTACCTTTCTGACCAGCATCCTTGGCCTGTTCCACTACTTGCTGCACAGTCTGGCCCACCGTGTTAACTGGAATTGGGAGAGAAACAAGTGTAAATAAAGCAGTCTTCACCCTTCCCCTTAACTCAGTAGTCACATTTTAGAAGGGTTCACTCAATGTTTCAGGGCTAGAAGATGAAAAATTGTTCTAGAAGTATGGTCACCCTCATCCAGTGGGAGAGAGATGCTATTAGGAAGCTGTCTGTAGTTCCCTGTGTTGTGTGTCTTTGTATGGATGACGATTCCGGAAGTTACAATCTGTGTCACCTACAGTGTCAGGAAACAAACCCTGGTAGATAATCAGGTGCAATGAAACCTTCCTTTTACTGACCCTGGCTAGGATTTGCCAAGAGCAGGCTTGGGCAGTTTGGTTGGTAAAGATTCTCTCACCAACTGCAGAAAGCTTGATGCCTGCTGCCTGGAAGCAGCATGCTGTGGGGCAGCACAAAGTTTATTGTACAGTCTAATACTTCTCCTGTAGCTAGAGAAAACTATATTCTGTAAGAGACCAGACTAGTTTTTGTTAAGGGCATGGAAATGTTCAACAGAGGAGACTTATCGAGACATGAAGAACAAGAGAAGGTACTGTCTTAAGTGGAGGAACTGCAGCCTACAAAATAGTGATAAATATTTGGGTGATCAGCCTCCAATAGCTATGATCAGGGAAGTCTTGCTGACAAGGGTCAAATAAAAGTTGAGGGCAAATGGCCTTCAGCTGAACCTGTATTTGTTTTATTCCCCTGGCTCCAAATACCTATCAAAAAACACCCTCCCACCACATTGATGTGTTCTGCACAACAGAAAGGAGCGGGGGCTGACAGAGCAAGCCAGGTTCCTGGTGGACTTTGTATGAGGGAGAAGTGCAGAGGTGAAGAAGGACATTTAGGTGGACTGGGAGTGTCTAAAACTTCAAAGGTCTCCAAGCTTGGATTGAATGGCTCTTCAACAGTAGTTATTTCACTAAGTGTCTTGTAAAAACCAGCGGCCTATTTCACCTTGGATTTATAGGACACTTTTTAATGCTTTAAAGACATGCTAGTTACCATCATGCATCATCTTTGGCTGCAGTTTCCTAACTGGTGAATGATGTAGGTGGCTCATAAGGTCACAGCTGAGTTCATGGCTCTTTTCAGGAACCATAGGTAGGTGCTAATTTTAGGTACTTGCAAAGCCCAGTTGTGCCACTCTGCATTCGGCAGTGGCTCATGGGACTGCACCTTGAGGGCACATGCAGGCACAACAGAAGTAGTTCAGAGGTGAGGTAATGAGTAGTTGTACAGCCACCAGTTGGACAGTCTTGTTCTAGCCAAAAACTGGCATAAAACCCCCCTTTGTTTTCATTTAAATGAGGATTTGGAGGGTACCTCTATTTATAATACTCGCAGGAGTGGGTGCAGTACTGACACTGATGTGACACACGTTCGGCATCATGTGCTGCGTATTTACTGCCCATCATCAAGGTACAGGCTGATGGCACAGAAGTGGCCAAAGTCAGGCCAGTGCCTGGGAGCTCCAGTTGTTGTTCCAGGATCCAACTCTAGCTGGAAGGGCTGTGCTGTGGCACAGGACTTGCTGGGAAGAGGTGTGGGGTTCAGGCAAAAGGCTTCAGGCTGCCGGTGGCTGAAGAACTAGTTCAGCCTCAAGTGATTGGGACAGAAGGGGAAAGACTGCTGCTGCTGTTTAAAAGCGTTGCTCTTGGAGTTTGTTGACTCCTAAACACTTAGTTCAATCAGATGAACACTGAGATTACTACTCAGCTCCTTCAAGGTGACAAATACCACTTGTAAAACATCCATGTTAGTCTTCTAGCATAGAAAGCCATGGATAATGTTTCCACAACATTAAAAAAAACCACATTAGGAACATCAAAAAGCCTCCAGAAATATGCATTTGTTGCATGTTGACTGCTGTACATCAAAAGGAAAATGAAGAAATCTTCATTTGGAAATAAAAATTGATTGTTACCCTCCAATTTCCCACATCCTGGTGTTCCTCTTTCATGCTTCAGCATAAAAATAGTTGATTTAAGAATCAACTTTGGAAAAGGGGGCAATGGGTCTGGGATTAGGCATCTTTGATCTTCTGAACAAACTGAACCAAGGATAGAGGGTAAAATAGTAGCAGGCTTTCCACCTGCTTCACTGGGCACATAACCTGCAAGTAGTATTTCTACTGCATTTGAAGTCACGGACAAATGTCTGGTTTCAAGAGTTTACCAAAATGTCATGTGAAGAAATACGAAACGGTCTCCACTACTCATATTATACTAGGCAGAAACATTTCAGGAATCGCCTGAGTCCAGATCTCTGTTTGTGTTAAAGCTTCACTAGCAATGGCTCATCTAAGTGGTATGTTGTTTGCGTTTGGGGCCAATTCAGCAAGCCTCTCTGCGGGGGTAAACTTGACTCGGGTGCCTGAGCCCCTGTGACCGCGGTCGTGGGGGGAGCGGCTGCCGTACAGGCAGGGCGGGAGCACTGACAGCAGAGGGGAGCTGACTTAACTGCAACGTGTTTGCGCAGCACCGAGCAGATCAAAGACTTCAGGAAAACTAATCCACTACACTATTATAAAACTTGTATTTATCATGGCTGTTCATGTTAGGAAATAGAGCCCTATATAAGCAGCCTCGCCTCCCCTCTGGGCTTTCCACTGGCCCCTTCTCTCTTCAGTGCATCATCTAGACACCCACGCATTGAAAGCCAGAGCGGAAGAAGTTGTGGGAAACCAGCAGTTAATATCGGTCCTTCATTTACTATAGTGTTAGAGGGTTTGCGGGCTGCAGGACGTGCTGACCGCACCCTCGAGGACAGCAGCTCTAGAGTTCATGCCTAGGAGACAGGTTTGCTCCCAGCTGCAGGGTGGGAGCAGGGCAGATACTTCAACACCCGAGGCACAGGGGGACGGAAAGCAGCAATTTGTATTTACCTGCCGCCTGTGCAGCACTTTCAGCTTGTTGCGTGGCTTCCTCAGCAAGCTTCTTCCCAATCCCGAACATGGCTGCGCTCGGTCCTCTCTTCCCACAGAGGATGGGTGAGTGAATCCCTGAATTCGATTCTGTTACAATGTTTGGCAAAGTGCAGCTTTTTATAGACAAGCAGGACTCCTCCCAGTAGTTACAGGGCAAATGCAAACTGGAACAGGGAAAAGCCATGAGCCCTTGGCAGGTGATTAATATATGAGGCATAAAAGGGTGAAGAGACATTAGCGTTTATTATGTTTTCCTCCCCAGAGAGAGGGCGTGGATTAATCGGCAGAAGTTTTCCATAGCCCAGGAATGAAAGCTTTGTTTGTCCATATTGAGGAGCTGGTAAACAGCACGCATGCCACAGCTGTCCCGACCAAAGGCTCCCGAGCCGGTGCCGCGGGGGGAGATGCAGGCAGGCGCCTGCTCCCGCCCTAAGAGAGGGCCCCGGAGCCGGTGCCGCGGGGGGAGATGCAGGCAGGCACGGCCCATCGTGAACGGGGCAGAAAAACATTGCGTCACAAAACGCACAGCTGAAGAATTGCTTAAATCAACTCTGGCATTTCAAAACCTTACATAGAAAAGTATCCAGTTTCAGATGATTCTTGCCCACATTTTTTTTGTCCCCAGTGGCCCTTAAAATCCATGGCTATAAAAAGAAAGGGGAGGAGCTAACCCTGCTTTTTAAAGGATCTGATGAAATCTTTGTTGTGTTAGACGAAGCTAATAATTTTGTGGTATGTCATGATTAATATTTTAACCCTTTATTTCCAATGCCTGGCTCAGGAAAGCGAAGAGAGAAAGTTTGTGTCCTTCCCCTCCGTCCCCACAGCAAACACTCGCAGGACGTGGCGCGGCCTCCTGGGCCTCGGGCAGCAGGCAAGGGCCGGCGGGCT